GGATGCATTTTAAATGTCTTGATCAAGGTTTAACCGTTGATGAAGGAAGTTTTCGATAAATTATGCCAATAAAAGAATCTTATAGTGCTAGAAAAATGCTGAAGAAGGAGATTTAATGGTAGAATGAACTTTAATACTGGACCTGATAATATATGATAACTGCTTTCCTTCTGCTGGTTTTTATACACCAGTCAAATACGTATTATGGTAAAACATAGTACATGAACGTCCGTCCGTTCGCCAACATTTGGTATCATAACTATTTTTTTTTTGTACCAATTATCATGTCAATACTAATTTTAACACATTAGGATTGACGTAAGAAAACCCAAGTTCGGTTTTGTAAATTTTTGGCTGTATTCATATTGTTCCAGATTAACGTGACTTTAACCGTTAGATTCAAGGAAAATTTTCACATATCTCGCTCCGACTCCAGTTTGCCTGATTTGGTTTCCTTAAAACTTTACATTATTGTAAAAGTAAGCTCCCTTTTGATTTTCTAAATTATCTGGTTTGTCAGTTCCAGAGTTACGGGACTTAATTTCTCAGATTTAATTAAATTTTTACCATAACTTGAAATTGCTTGGTTTGATTTACTGAAAAGTTTACATAATAGTTGGAATTGGTGAACATAACACATCATTAAATATAAAATTCCGATATGTCATTTCAGAGTTATAAGAATTTGACCGTCAGATCAATAAAAGGCCTTTTTCACGGGTGTCATTCGGTATATCGAGAAAAATAATCGTAAAAGGATAACTAACGGTGGTCAAGCATTGCGATCGGATGGTAAAAGATCTGGTATCGGATCGTGAATGCAAAAAAGTGTAATTATACTTCAAAATCTGTGCAAAATCTTCTGTATTTTTAAAAGGTGGAACAAATCAGAAAAAAAGAAATATTTCTGTCAAAACTATTTAACTTCCTTAATAAAACTGTGCACTAAGTTAAAGAAAACTATCAGTACTTTTTAAGAAAACACAAAAGGCGACACACAATCCTATGAGAATCATTAAGAAAAAATCACGGATTGTATCTTTAATTGTCACATTCCAATATATCATGATATGTTTGAAACTTAATCTTTAGTGCGTCAGATAGTACAGTAAAAAAAAGTATGTTATTACTTAAAAAAGTTCATATTTGTTTTGAAAAAGTTTAATTTTTAATCGTGAAAGACAAGGCGTGACCAGACTTAATGATCAAATACCAACATTTCTTTTACCAATCGATATACTTGTGATTTATTGAAGCGTGTAATTAATTACTAAGAACGTAATTAATGCTTTATTTTTTTGGGATTATATATATATATTTTACGGCCGCAAGTTTATTGTTTTCTGTTTGGTATTAAATTAATAATAAAGATCCATTTTGTTACATCTGGTGATCCGTTTATTTGGCAATCGCCATGGCAGTCAGCAGGGTTTAAGAACATCCGTTGTACGACCTGCTAGTCAAATGCGTTTTGTTAAAATATACTTTTTCACTTTTTTGGTCTTTTGGAAAATGTTGTTTACCTACTCAGAACCAACCGTTATTTACAGTAAAAACAACAATACCTTGTCAGAATCAAATGTTCTATGTAGACTTTAGGTTGGTACCTCCTAAGAACCAAACGTTTTTCAGTTAAAACAAGAATACCTTGTCACAACCAAATTTTCAATGTTGACTTTAGGTCAGTACCTCCTCAGAGCCAACCATTATTTACAGTAAACAGAACAATACCTTGTCAGAACCAAATTGTCTACTTAGACTCTAGGTCGGTACCTCCTTAGAACCAGCCATTATTTACAGTAAACACATTACCTTCTCAGAACAAATTTTCTATGAGATTCTAGATCGGTTCCTCCTCAGAACCAACCGTTATTTTCAGTAAAAATAAGAATACCTTGTCGGAACCACATTTTCAATGTTGACGTTAAGTAGATACCTCCGCAGAACCAACCGTTATTTAGTTTAAACAACCAAACATTGTCAGAACCGAATTTTCTAAGTAAACTTTAGGTTGGTACCTCCTCAGAACCAATTGTTATTTACAATAAAAACCGCAATACCTTGTCAGAACCAAATATTCAATGTTGACTTTAGGTCAGTACCTCCTCAGAACCAGCCTTTATTTACAGTAAACACAACAATACCTTGTCAAAACCAAATTTTCCATCGTTCCATTAATCCTCAGCTGTTTATCTACAGTACAAAGCGTCCCCATACTTACCATGTGTGCTATCTGTTACATTAAGTAAACAGTACCATCGGTCCTTTAACCTCTAGCTGTTTACCTACTGTAAGAAGCATCCCCATGTTTACCATATATGCTACCTGTTACATTTAATAAACAGTTCCATCGTTCCACTTATCTCCAGCTGTTTATCTACAGTAAACAGCGCCCCATGTGTACCATATATACTATTCGTTAATTCCAGTTACATTAAGTAATTTTTATTTGTTCCCCTTATGACTACATACATTCATAATATTCTAATATAGATATAATTGTAAATTTATGCAGCAGTAGTTTACCGATGTTCAAATCTCATAAATCGAGATTTCATTAGACTATTTTCATATTACCGACTTTTGACTCCGGATAATATAGATTTTCGACAGGTTACCTTTTCTGTGGTTAGACATCCTGAAACTCGGTCAAGTAAGAGCAACCAAAAGAAGAAAAATCAAACACATAATCCGTGCAATTTGAGGGGAAAGTTTTCTGTTTTCTGATGATTTTATCGTGTTAAGAAAATATAAAGCAGTTAATTTTCCCCATAAATTGTATCGATTAAAAGCTTGATTCTACTTTATTTACGTTGCTCTTACTTGACCGAGTACCAGGATGTCTTACCACAGAGTAGATAACCTGTCGAAAAAATATAAACTCCGGAGTAAAAAGTCGGTAATATGAAAAAGGTCTATTGAGATATATAAACGCCATACTACATGTACTATGGGCATATAGTATGTTACAGCTGAGAAATATGAAGTTGACAATAGGAAAGTTGAATTCATCATCTTTGTCATAGATTCTAGTATCGTTAGTCTCAAGTTCAACGGAGTATTTGAGATCCAATCACTTACTGAAATGTTGTTTATTATACACCACGAAAAGAAGTTGCATTGGGTAAAATGTTTTTAACTCGTCCGTCCGTCAGACCTGTTCTTGTCATCTCAACTTCTCTGAACTCTGAAACCACACAGCAGAATTTATAATATTCTCATAATATTCTCTTCGGTATATTTTTTTTTAATCAGTGCAGTTCTTCATACAGTTAGATTTTTCATGACCTAAAACAAGAAATTTGTATCCATTTGCGTCTGGCGTACACAATTTTAATCCTGGTATCTATGACGAGTTTATTTGATGAATATGCTCTGTTAAATGAGACGATGCATTCGACCTTTCAACTGAGAATGGGTAATATTAGTTTTATAAGATTTGAATAGAATTCAAAGTTTTGATATTACTGCAAAATCGATTGTGATTGAAGATTTTGTAGTAGGTCATTAGAATTTTCAAGAATCTACATCTGATTGACACCGCCGGTAGAATATACAACAGCACAATATTTCTGAAGGTTATCTTTTTCTTCTATAGATTAAATTGGGTTTTTTTTCATTGTTTATAAGTTTATTATTGAAAATTGTTTACTTTTGTTTTCATTGCTCGTTTCAACTTATTTTATATGTCCATTTTTTATATCTCAAGTATTTTGTTAACCTAATGGTTTTATGTGTGGTAGAGTGACGGGTACGTAGATAGGTGATATCACGGATTTTTATAGAATTTTGTAAGCTGAATTGCATTTGAATATCGAACTAAAATATATGTATCAACTATTCTTTCGGAGATTAATGAAATTGAAAGAATCAAAATGTTTAGGATAGACGTAAATTGTCTTCTCAAAAACCTGTCGTTAAAAACTATGTATATTATTGCCACTGAATTTTATTGATATAAAATGTACAGATCACCGAATTCGTTTTTGCTGTTTGGATTATTCAAGAGTATTGACAATTATTTGAAGTTTAAGGAAAAAAGTAGTATTACATTTACCGGGCTTTAGGTTGGCCTTTCGTGTACCCAAGGCAGGTGAAGGAAGTCAACTTACGAGCGCTGTGATTGGATGTAAGGGTATAATATATTTTTTTTCATTTATCTATGAATAAGTACAATGTGTATATTTACAATATAAATTTTGAAATCCATCGAAATATTTTCTTGAGAATTACTCGAAAAGACTTCCAAAATTTCATGAATTTGATGTAAAATGACAGTGGGCATGGATACCATAAACAAGCCTCTTTCGAAGATGGTCATGATACTATTTGACTTCAATTTCTTAAACAGAATAATAAAGTACTAATACCACACATAACTGTTTTGTCCAAGTTTTTATTATAAAAAGTGGTAAATTTAGAAAATGTTAGTATTGTCGCATATGGAAGAATAAATACTACCGTTTTCCTTAATTGATGTTTCTGTATGAAATTCGATAAAGGACATTCACCATTGTTGGAGTCATGGATATGACTACATATCAATCTTTGGTATGGTACAATATTGTTTGGTATAGTTTTATTTGTAATTGTTTGTTTGTTGTATAATATACCATTATTTAAGGTTATGTGCGTTTATTCATTTATGTTCAATTTGTTAATCCACTGATCGAGACTGGAAGGGTTTATATCTTAAAAAAACTTAGTTATAACCCACCACATATTCATGAGCTTGTAATTCCTTCAGTGGTTGTCCAAATGTAATGTTTTTATTCGGAGATTCTGCTATTGATGGAAAATCTTTGATATTTTTTTATTTATTAATGTTTGAATTTGTATAGGCATCTGTTGAAGATCATATGTTGTCCTCTAGCTGTCTTATGTTTATTTGTTTCTTTCGATGGCTGTCTGATAAGCTTTATCCCATTTCTCATTTCGGTCACCTTTATAGTTACGGTTTTTTTTAACAAAAATAATACAATAAGTTAATAAGATTCACAGTTAATTAATGATTTAATACTTCAAAATGTCATCGAATTAAAACCAGTAGAGCTCTAGAAAAAGGCAGTTGTTAGACTCTTCTGATGACTGAAAACAAAACAAAAAGTATATTATAAGTTGATATTTTAGGTTTTAGCTAGTTGATTAATTCAACAAATGTACAAGAAAACTAGAAGAAGCAATAAGAGAGCACAAAGCCAATAATATTATGATTTAATATTTAATATATTCACACCATCAACTTCTTTTTTGTATAACATAGGCGAAAAACACCGTTGCATCGTGACATCATTTGTTCGCCCCTCATTCTACGTAAGGTTGCTAGCACGAACTTGCATTCAGTATTGGTGTTAATGGCACATCCTTTGACCAGTCTCAGTTACATCTTCTTTTAGTGAGATTTTCAAAAAGTGGACATTCACTCGTTTTAAAAGCAAGATGCAATTCATCAAAATTAACAAAAAACAAAAAACACAGGTTTGGTTAAAACTAAATTTTGAAAGTATTGCACGTTTAAGATCAATATGTATTGCTAATGTATCAGAAAGAAACGCGTGTGCCTTGACAAGTGTGATTACCTTGCAAAATATTTTCAGTATTTTTGAGAAAACGAATTTATTTGATTGTAATTTCATTCAAGGAGTAGAATATGACATTTGGAACTTCTTTCGTAATGCATGTGTAAACCTGTTTCATTTTCTTTTTCTTCCTCCTCCATGACCAATAAAAAAATAAGGAAAACCTCCTCCTCCATCACCACCTCCACCACCATCGCCGCCATTCTCCTCACTATCACAAAATTTACCACACCATCTAGGGGCTGCAGATGTCATTTGTAGTATGGCGGTCAAAAGGAGAAACAGAAAGATCAATTTCTTCATTTTGAAACCTGTTAATATACATAAAAATGTACCACTTATAATAAATATTAATAAATTAAGATAATTTACTCATAAAATATCTAACTCCAACTGCTGTTGTAACTATTATAGTTCATCTGTGGACTAACCGTCATCTAAAAAGATTTGTTGACTTTGATTGTTGCTATTTGTTCAACTGTTCAAATACCTTACTAGTCAACACTCTATAGCCATTTACCATGTTAACATTTTATAAAAGAAGTACAATAGCTTAAGTTTCTCTAAATTACACCATGGTTATAAAATTCAAAGGTTGTTTTACAGATGAAACCACACATTTTCATTTTCTAAGTTATCTTACAGAACATGTAAACCGAAACGTTTATTGTCTGGCTATTAATATTTAGATGGAAAATGATGTTTCAAAAATGTAAATCTCTGCTATATAAAGATAAAATAAAGCTATAGAAAAATTGATACACACATATAATATTACATACACCATTTTGCTAAGTGGAACTGATGCCCAGACTTTTTCCCAAAAAATTATCTATTACAACACCTTGTCACGGGACTTTCGATATGAAAATATTGTCCGTGTTACTGTAACGGTTTCTGTCTAGATTAAGAAAATAAATAGAGCGTGGCTTTAATTAATGTATATGTTCGTAAATATTCTTTTGAAATTGCCTCACTGTCCTGATTTCTAATTACATAGTCGATTTTGTTAGTATCTTTTCCGGAACTTTTCTGGTTTAGCATCGTATATAATGATTTTTCTTACCTTTAAATCTTGTTCTAGCAAACAATTTGATATAATAATAATTCCATCTATGCTTTTATAAGTTCATCTAAGTCATTAATCAAAGCAGTTAAATTTGAAACAAATGAGTTAACCTAGTTACATTAAATATGCATGCATAGTTAAACGTCGTGTTCAGGAAAAGAAAAATGCACAAATATGTAACTACAAATATATGTTACAAAAGAGAATAATGTGTTTTATCTTTATGTCCTTGGGATGACTTAAAGGATATTATGCAGTGCTTTTTTTCTGACTTTCATTTGGTTATTTTCTAAACTTTCTTTACGATTTTGTCTCATAAACATCCAATGTGCCATCTTTTTACATGTTCTTAATAAAAGAAAAATCTAATTTTGGTAATAACACAACTTTATGTTATCACCCTGGTTTTAGGTGGGGTTCGTGTTGCTCAGTTTTTAGTTTTCTATGTTGTGTTTTGTAAACTGTTGTTTGTCTTTTGGTCCCTTTTTTATTTTTGGCCATGGCGTTGTCAGTTTATTTTCGACCTATGAGTATAATTGTCCCTTTGGTATCTTTTGCCTCTCTTTTATGCTATTCTGTACTGTTCTCAAGGTTGATGAATTTTATTCAAAATTAGATATTTATATATTAGAATGTAGAGAAGTTTTTTCTTCCACATCAAAGGATGAAGGTTTTGAGTGGCTTCAAGCTTTGCACGCTTGAATGCTTTTTATTCACCTAGTTGTGATGATTTAATCGGCAGTAGTACTGATGTTTTTTCTCAACTTATATTGTTTAATAAAAAAACTCTGAATGTGTTTTCTTTTTTGTGCATTTATCAATCCACTGATAGAAAAAAGTTTGATTTTTTTTACGTAAGATGTCGATATTATACTTATTTACGCCAAACAATTTTGTGTCGTCAGACACCATCGTTTGCTGCCTTATTAGATCTTTAAGACATGTTAATTATTCAGTCTACTAGTTTATATCTTATGGTAGGTAAAACTGAGTTTCTGATTTTCAGTCTCTGCATAGTTATGTTAAGGTAAAAAAAGCATTCTTACTAATTTTCAAAAGATTATCTAAGATCTAGCTGATAATAATTTCTATAAACAGATCAATATTGTAATGAAAATAGGCAACTTACCAACAAAGTTTTTGAAATAGTAAGTACATGTGATAAAAGTATAAATGTTGAGAGTAATCAAACTTTTTATTATCAGTGGATTGACAAAGGCACAAAAAAAGAAAACACATTCAGAATTGTTTTTACTAAATGATATAAGTTAAAAAAATATAAGTATTTCTGCCGATTAAATCATCACAACTTGGTGAACAAAAAGAATTCAAGCCAAAAGCGTTCAAAACTTGCAGCCACTGAAACCTCCATCCTATGATGTGGAAAAAAAAACTTCTCTACATTCTAATATATAAATATCTAAGTTTGAATAAAATTCATCAACCTTGAGAACAGTACAGAATAGCATAAAAGAGAGGCGAAAGATACCAAAGGGACAATTAAACTCATAAGTCGAAAATAAACGCCCTTTACTTTAGAAAATAACAAAATGAAAGTCAGAAAAAAAGCACTGCAAATATCCTTAAAGTCATCTCAAGGACATAAAAAGGTAAAACACTTTATCTTTTGTGACATATACATGATATATGATAAGGTTAACTCATTTGTTTCTTAACACTGTGCAAAATACAAATTTACCTGCTTTAATTAATGACTTAGATGAACCTTTTAAAATCATAGATGCAGTTATTATTATATCAATTTGTTCCCTAGAACAAGATTTAAGAGTAAGAAAAATCATCATATACGATACTAACCAGAAAAGTTCCGGAAAAGATACCAACAAAATCGACTATGTAATTAGAAATCAGGACAGTGAGGCAATTTCAAAAGAATATTTACGAACATATACATTAATTAATGCCATTGTAACCATACATGCAACCAAACTCCCCGGCAGTTCCAGCTCCGATCCGCATACTACTCTACACTAATCACTGCCTTCGGCTTTTTTCGTAACCCGATATTCAAGCTGTTTGACCCGGATTGACCTTTCGTTGCTACTGAAGCAAATATGGCTGAACATTGTCATTGATGAATGAGGATAATTTTTACCAGCTTTACCAGTATATATGGACAAAAACAATTATGGTTAGTAAAAAGCACCTAATCCAAATAATATCACAAAATGAAAAGTTTTCGAAATTTCTGTATATCCCAATTCTGGCTTAAACTCAATCGACTTTACAAAAAAATCTTCGTCACTGGAGAAACATAATATCATATCAGTTTGACGTCTGCGCGTATGTGCAATTGAAAGAATATTTAGGGTTTTAGCTGTTGATAACAATTATTCCCTTTATTGTAATGACACCCCAAATCATCAGCAAATAAAACTCGTTTGCAGACCACTCACAGTCTTCACGATTTACCTCAACCTCGACGTCAAAAGGGGTTCTTCAACGAACGAATAATATCAGATATATATATGTAGAAAAAAATGTTGTTTTCCCGAGAAGCAGCTCCATATGGAATTAAAGATATTTTAATTATAACAGACAAAATTGGAATCTAGGGATAAATTTTGGATTTTTTTTAAGGGTCCAAATAATTTCAAATTGACACAAGGCCACAAGCAAGTTATTTTATCCAACTTGAGTAAGGGTTTCCAACCAATATTATTAAGACTCCATTTACATACCTATCTCTGAACTTCTCAAAACTCACTTCAAGTATAATTTTATGGATTAAACAAACAAAACAATCATTATTATAACTTGAAAAGTAAATATCAAGGATTTGTATAGTATCTTACTATACAAATCCTTGTAAATAGATTATATACTTCATTGTGAAAACAAATACAACACACATGTACTAAACATGCTAAAGTTGTTATGCATTTTGCTTTTATTATACATCATTTTACAATGGTCTGGATGGGAGCATTTTCATTTCTGTATTTCTATTTTTTTTTCAAGAATATTTTTTTTACCAATTATTATCCATTTAATTTAAGGTCATATGATAATAAAAAAATGTTCCCCTATAATCTTTATGTCTTTTGTCCATTATTCTTTATTCTGTTAACCACATTAAGAACCTCATTTATATACTCTTAATGGACTTTTTATAAGTTTCTATTTTAACATACCAGTTCCGGATAATAGAAAAGAGATTGAACCAATATCTAAATATTCATGTATATAAGTCCCAGTTACATTTTATATTTTGTCCTGCCCTGAAGCAAAACTCTTAGTAAGCACCCAAAAAAAAAACTAAACCACATTATTTTTGTTATCATATACTCAATTGTATGTCAATGTAGAATTGTGTTTTGAAATCATTGTATACCATGTATAATGTTTGTTTATATAAATATGAATGTCATGCTGGACATCAATGGCCTACTTTTTATTCTTTGTTATACCAAAGATGTACAATGTATAAACCCATCTATATTCATCTATGATTATACTGATAAGGTATTGCTAAAATAACTAGAGGTTCTCAAGAGCCTGTGTCGCTCACCTGATTCTATTTTAGTTTTGGAAATCATGTAACAATAGATTAAAATTATAACAGATACCCTAATAATGATTGAGGCAAAATTATATTGACCCCGTAATTTAAACAAAAGCAGAAGACTTTAGTAAAGTTTACAGAAATTACCAATAAATTCATTGAAATTGTAGAAAATGACTTTATAAGGACAATAACTCCAACAAGATGTCAATTCACAATTTTGCTCATGTTGACTTATGTGTAGATCATCTTTTTATTATATTTTTGCAGTTTACAGTGTATCTCAATCTATAAAGATACATGTATTAAGGTCTTCATCAGCACCTCATAAGGAAAATTTATGCCATGTTTGGTTTCATTCCATTCAGTGCTCCTCTAGAAGAAGCATTTGTATGTATTTCCCATAGGATCTTATGTTAAACTAAGTCTTCTGCTGGCGGCCATCTTGGATGATGGTTCGGCTACAAAGTAACAACACTTGGTCAGCACCTCATTAGGAACATTCATGCCATGTTTGGTTTCATTCTATTCAGTGGTTCTCTAGGAGAAAACATTTGTATGTTTTTCCCATAGGGTCCTATGTTAAACTTACTCCCCCTGCCGGCAGCCATCTTTGATGACAAATCAGCTACAAAGTAACAACACTTGGTCAGCACCTCAAAAGAAACTTCCAGTTTTTGTTTGCTTACTGAATAAAAATCATGCGATGTGTTAGTTGCCAGTGAGACAATATTCCAGCAGTGACAATAGGGCCGTTGGACCAGGGTCCTTTTCAACTTGAACTAGTAGTAATTGATTTACAGTACATGCATTCATCACTGGTTTAATACACATAACTACAATAACAATTATTGTCAATGCCAAGAGTATCAGGACATAATTTGTGAGTGACAGCTACCAAGGTATCTGTTAGCTTAAAACCCAGTCCCCGATCATGTATATTAAATAATTGATATTGGTTAATGTGCAGTAAAAGTAAAGATTATATGTAAAAGAGAAGGGGTCAAGATCATTTTTTTATAAGCATAAATAAAAAAAAAATAATAAAAACATAATGCAGCAAGGTTTAGAATTTGAAAGAACTATTTCATAGGTGTCTACTTAGACTGCTTCAAAACAAGAATAGGCTTCATAATTATTGGATCTAAGTCACCAACCATTCATCTGTTAAAAGGGGGAGGACAGATTTTTTTCTCTCAGAAGTAACACGAATAATTCAGTCCCTCCCCGTGATCGACTCTCCCACTCGCGAGGGCCTGAACTCTTTATACGATAAAAACGCGTCACGAATACAGGATTTTGATTGGTGCTCTCTGTGAGAGAGAGCCAATCAGCTAATAGCTAAATATTATCGAGATAGGTAAATCCCGAGCTAATTCCGAATGATTTTTTGACGATTTTTCATTGACTAGGCCTTCAGGCGTTAATGTAGCCATCGTAGAGCAGTGGAATATAACGACTGAATTACTCGGGTTATCTCAGAAACAACATAAATTTAGATTAAAATGTCGTACCGCTTTTATCATTTTTTTATACAACTGCAAGAAATGTGTGGCTG